AGTTTACTTACTCGTTTCGGAGCTGGGACCACTTTGTCCTCTTGCGGATGTCCCAGTTGCCCCAGGTTGGTGCCCCACGTGTAAACCGCGCGGGGATTCCAAGCCACCGCGTGCATTCTGCCTGCGCAAACTCCCAGCGGATCGGCCAACTTCAACAGTGGTTTGGTTGAACCCAACTTTATGACCGTTGGAGTTTTTGCGGCAGACGAACTTATATTATCTGTTGAGTTTAATCCGTATTGCACTACCTGGAATGTGAAAATTTTCATGTTTCATTCGAATAGACTTACTAGAAATTTATTAAACAAAAAAAAATAGTTTTCTATATTGGTACTAGAATAGATTTTTACCTTTACTATTGTTGTGTAAGAAATTAAAAAAGGTTACTATAATTATGTAGATGTTGACTCACCGCACCGCTCTGCAGCAGGAAGATTGTAGAGGTGAGCGTGATAGCCGCTGCGAGGCAGGGCTCGGGCAGGCGTAGGTGGGCGGGGCGTAGGGCGGTGCTGGGCGGGCCTCCTGCGCGCGCCGTCTGACCCGCACACCACGCCTCCCCTCCACCCGCCTCGCATATCCACACGCTATGGAACTTGCCCAAGCACACCTACACATATAGTTAAGTGGTGAGAACATGAAATCACATACTAGAAGATTCATAACTTAATTCCTCTTGGTAAAAAGATCTGCAGAAAGATTAACCTTGAGTATAATCGAATATAGTTGTGCTATATTCAGTTTGATGTTCCAATTGTGGTTTTTCTAATGATAAACGAAAATTTATTGTTATAAAATATTTGAACAAAATAATTAACGGCTTGAGCATTCGAGAATAACCACAAAGTTATGTAATAACTTATAATAATGCAATTTAATAGGCTTGCGGTAAACGAAGCATACGATACCTTGGTGTGAACAAAACCGCATCGGTTTTCTAAATTGCATTCTATTTAAATTAAGTGTAATTTGCAATTATATACGATAGTAATATAATATCTATGCTTTTCTTGATATAATTATAATCGAGGGAAATAAAAAAAAATTAAAAAGCATTAGTTAAATTGTCCTATTTATTGTTATTGATGATTTAAACGATAAGGCACGACTCCATCGCCTCTGTACGGATAAGTATCAAATTTGTACTTCTGAGCGGGATTCACCGCGGATATCACTCGCACCACTTTCTTCGGAGGTTCCTCAGCATACATAGTGTTGTGCCCACTAACTCGCTTTGGTACCACCACCTTTACCTCCTTATTCACAGGTAAAGTACTGGTCGATTGCGCTTTTGGCGGAGTTACCTTCATTGGCGTCCAGCTATTAGGATCTACTAAAGGACCGCCTTTTATAATACAAGAGGCAAACGAAATTATAAGAAAATACGAAAGCGACAACACTACAGCGTAGAATATGAACGTCCCTTTATTCTCTTTTATAGCTTCTCTTAGTGCGTCGAAACAGCCAAAAGTTTTATAAGTACCCACATTAGTTGAATTTATTTTCGTGCAGTTAGGATCCAATGGTATAAGATTCGTAATATTTTTTAACACGCAACATTGTACAGGGTTGGCAAGGCCCGGGTTTTTCTTTTGCCATTCCGATCTATCGAAATCTTCATAATTATTAGCACCGCAGCATTCGTAATTCAACATTACGTAGTC